GGGGGAGGGGAGATGTGTACGGGGGAAGGGCCTGTTGCCATTGGGGATGCAGAAGACTTGTAGTGGCTGCACGAATTCGGAGAGGGTCAGCAGTGAGCTCTTGGAAGCTAGGGTGCACGTATTTAGGGAGGTGCACAGCATGGATTGTTAAATTCAGGCTGGTGGTAAAAGAGATTGTCGTGTAGAGGCTTGAGAAATGCTAGAGACCATTTAGGGGTTTGCTTACAAGTGGTGGAGGTGGGTGAACGAAAGTCAGTACAGTTGTGACTCAAATGCTTTCTTCAATAGTTTGGCTGTGAGTTTCTGCCAAAGGTGATATTCACTAGTAAGAAAGAAGAAAAAAAAAAAAAAAAAAGATGTTACCTTGTCTGTTGTGCTCGCATTGGCCCCCATGCAACCCTGTGATAAACTAGATCTAGAAGGTGATGTGGTTAAAATACTCCTCTCTCTCTTTCTTTCTTCCTCCTCTCTCTCTTTCTTTCTTCCTCCTCTCTCTCTTTCTTTCTTCCTCCTCTCTCTCTTTCTTTCTTCCTCCTCTCTCTCTTTCTTTCTTCCTCCTCTCTCTCTTTCTTTCTTCCTCCTCTCTCTCTTTCTTTCTTCCTCCTCTCTCTCTTTCTTTCTTCCTCCTCTCTCTCTTTCTTTCGTCCCTGTCCCTCTCTTGCTTTCTTCCTCCTCTCTCTCTTTCTTTCTTCCTCCTCTCTCTCTTTCTTTCTTCCTCCTCTCTCTCTTTCTTTCTTCCTCCTCTCTCTCTTTCTTTCTTCCTCCTCTCTCTCTTTCTTTCTTCCTCCTCCTCAGTTAGAAGAGAAACATGCTTATGTTTGTCTATAGCGGTCCTTTTATATAAAAGGACCAATCAAATAATATTTTTACAGAGCTGATTTTGCTAATACTAGGATGCTGACTTTTGCTTAAATCTAGATATAAATTTTACATCCTTTTCTATAAAGGAATGATTGCACTTGAAACAAATATTTTTTCCTGTCAGTTGAAGTTTCGTGCTGTAATTCTTACCTGAGTCTATTTTGTCCTTTTAACTGAATATAATGAAGATGGTGTTATATATGAAGAACATAAAACTGGGAAAATGTATTTGCCAGCTCTTGTTCTGTGCATTCCAAGCTAATTTGGGCAAATTTGACATTGTCTAAAATCCTGTAAATAATAAAATACAATATTATCCCAGTGGTGTGGGTTTACAGTCACTAATGAAACACTTTCTATTCTTATTTGTGATGTGCCACTATTAAGCCTGTGGACATAGAAAGAAAACTTACCTATTTCGTGGCAGATGTACAAGCGCTGAATAGATGCCTTAACGCTATTGTCTTGGTAATACTCACTTCTTTCTAACTCAGTGTATATTATGAGAGAAAGTTAAAAATACTGTGGGTTTTTGGAAGGATTTCCTATACCATGTTGTTTCGTCCTTATTTCTTTTGAAGCCTTAAAGGAAACTGCATTTTGGCAACAGCTTGTAAATTTCTTTAATAAGATTTTGACTTAAGCCTTACTGACAACTTTCAAGTAATGTTTAATCAAAGGACATATAGGCTACTAAGTATAAATGAAGGCTAGCTAAAATAACGGAGCAAAGAGGAAGTGGTGTTTTGCTGGTGTAAATGGAGATAAGTACCTTAATGTGTTGAGAAACATCCACATGGTTACGAGAACTTTTAAAATAGAACATATCTGTTAGACACACTATCTGCTATGTACTCTGAGAGAACTTAAACACCAGTGGTGTAAACAAGCTTTTAAAAGTAATTGTTAAAAGAAAGCTATTTCCAATTCTTTTTTTTAAATACAAAATGTTAATAGTGAAATCTGCTTCCTCATTATAATGTTGCTTGCAGTGAGATAAACCTGATATAGTTGTGTATATGTTGTTTTTGCTCTCTGATCGCCGCTTACTGGCTGAGGCTGATGTAAGACACCCAAAAGTCCTGCTATTATGTGTTCAGGAAACTGTTCTTGGCTCCCTCTTTGGTCACGAATGCAACTCAATATTTGAAGGTGATGGGACTATCTGTTTTTTAGAAATTTATAGGGTGATATTTGGTAGTTCATTTATTTTTTTTGAAAAGCTGCTCGTGAGTATAGTTGAAGAGCTTAGTTTCCAAGTTTGTTGCTGCTAATAGCTTTGTCACTAGCAGACACCAGTGTACCGAATAGTGTAGTTTGATGGATGCATTAAGACCCCTGCTGCCAGAGGAAGCTACTGCAGCTTCCTTGTTCTGGCCCAAATGTTTGTGAGGCTGTACAGTGGAACCTATCAGAGAAATTATTTGTGCTGCTATAAGGGAGGAGATGATCAGGGACGCACGTTAAATAAAGGGTAGGAGAGATGGGACTGTTTCTTTAAACTGGCAAGGCCAGCTTCTTCTAGGTTAACATATTGTGGAGCACCTTTGATAACATACAGATTTCTAAATAGGAAACTGAAATGCCAAGAGCCCGGTATTTCTTTTCCCATATTTGGGGTGGAAAGTGAGGGGGAAGGGGGAAAGAAGCCAGGTGGACGAAACCAGCAAGTTATAGCCCTAGTGTTTCAGGCGTGGATCATGTCCCTAGCAGTAATGCTAGGGACAATGCTTAGTGCTGGTAATAACATCTTGTGTCACGTTCTTCATGTACACCTCTGGCACTCTGGATCTTCTGAGATTAGTTCAGAGATAGGCTTCCTAGGGTGAGAGAGGCAATATATGAGATGCATAGCACCTCCCTTTTCTTTGCCCTTTCGCTTTCGCTGTTACCTAGCAAGATATGCTGTAACGACTTCAGACTGTGATGATGGGCACAAGAGACTCAACAGGAAGAGGCTGTGGATAATTTTATTTAATATCACGAAACAGTGTTTTGTGGTTATGACACTTTCAGAGGAAGATAAAACTTTCTGCAAAAGTGAGAAACATGTGGAAGTATGCTATTGGAATTATTCCTACATAATTCTGTGTGTACACTGTCCTTATCTAAAGTAGTTTTAGTAATGTGTAAGTCAAGCTTTAGTTTCTTGCATATTGTAAGAATATTTGTATAGACAGACTTTTATTCAAGGCCAGGTTAATAGTCTTTTCATTTTTAAATAGATTTTTTTCCTAAGTATGAGCCCTGTTTGGTGAGGGGAAGGGTTTTTAATGCATCAAGTTTTTACCTATTACAATTAAATGGAAACAAAGCTGAGAATAGTTATGATTTTTTTCTTAATTAAAGATTTATGCTTTGTCATTCAAAACTCTATTCTGTTTCAAAATTATGTATCCATAATATTAATCAATAAATTTTGGTCGGGAGAAGGGTAGTAAATAGATTTTAGTTGCCAGTTGGACATGTTTATATCTAGAGGCTGTAAAAAATGAAATAGAAGGGTGCAGCTACCCCTCACCTTTGTAGGCTTCTAGAAAAGATTTCTAAAATTTCTGTGCAGAGGTGACTGGCAGGGTTTGAGCCAAAGTAATTTAAACTCCATTGTTCAGCCTAGATGCTTTAAAGGTGAAGAAACTGTCTCGTATCTGTATCCCTGGGATCTAAAGCCTTGCCTAAATTAGGGTTTTGAGTTTCAGCAAACGCAAACAGATTATTTTTTTTAAAGTTGAAAGTAGAGGTGACGTTGAGCTGTGTTAATTATTGCTTTAAAAACCTATGACTGAACTTCACCCATTTAGCTGAAGTGTGTGTTACTTTTTCTGTGCTAAACTTCTGAATGTGTTAATTACCTTGTGTTAGCTAATACCGTCTTGCCTTTTGTCTAGGCAAGATTTGAAATCGACCAGTATACTACTGTGCCCCCTTCAGAGACTCATGCTTGCTGATGATGAGAACTAAAAACTTAATCTTAACAAAGCATATATTTTGTAGAAATTGGAAATATCTTGGTCACTACTAGGGAATGGTAAGTGGACTTCTGAAAGCAGGGTTTGTAAATACTACAAGTGCTACATTTATTCTTTTAGATGAAAGAAGCATTGAAAACCTCTGTAAACAGGTATGATTTAGGAGGCGTTTGTCTTTACTGGTTTGGTTTTAATGAATAAATTGTTGAGATGCAGAAGCATTGGGAGATCATTCCGTTTGTATTGAACTGTGACAGAATTCGAAGTCACTTGAGAGGCATTGAAAAGTTTTCTTAATGTTGAGTCGGATTACAAATGTATATGTATTTTTAATGGTTTTTGATAATTAAAAGCTGAGGGTAGTTAAAAGTTTGTTCTTTTGAGATCAGTTTAATTATTTCAGTTATGCTTTGTTTCTGTGTATGTGCAAAATAACTTTTCTTTAAAGAAGGAAATGGTTATTTAAATGAACTTTACACTCATGTATGTACCTTTTTAATGTAAAAAAGACGTAACAGAGTAATGATCACATAAATGTTGCGTAGAAGAAACCTAAAGACAGCTTTCACTATTGTCCTAGCTCCCCTCCCACTTCTTTTTTTTTTTTATGATCGCTTTGGTTAAATGTAGAGCTGTGTGTTACAGTGTGTACTGGTCTGTTTACCACTGTCTTTTGTTCCCCCTGCTCCCGACTGTATGCTGTCCTCTATTCCCCTGTATCTCTCTCTGGCTCTCGTTTGACCCGTTTCACTAGCCAGTTCAATTTGATAGCCTAGCCACATAAAAGTGTCTTCTGGAATATCGAGAGCCTATTCATTGAAGGACCTGAAGAGTCAGGGCTATTGTGAAGTGAGGATGGTGAGTTGTACAGCCAACTGTAAGCAAGGCTGAGGGAGGAGTGATCAGGTATGGAAGGGGAGTGGGATTTAACCCTTCTTTGCAGCAGCTGTTAGCTGATTGGGATTTAACCCTTCTTGGCAGTGGCTGTTGAGCTGATTCAGTCTTAGCATGTAACACCGAGTCCAGCAGTAAATTTGCCATTTCTTGTGTGCTGTCTCTTTATGATTGAGATTAATGTTTGAACCCATTTAAGGAAATTGCCTTTCTACCTTTGAGCCCAGCCCTGTAATAAAAGTGTATGCCTATGACTTCTCTTTTTCTGTTATATAGGGATCAGAATTGCTGAAAGCACAAATAGAGAATCGTAAAATAACCACTTCATTGGCACCAACTAAAAGTTTGAGGTAAGATTAACTTAATTCTGTTTTTAAAAGTTCTGATTCAGCCCAGTCATGTGAAATGAGAATTGATTCTGTTTTTCTAAAATTTATGCTTGTGATTTAAAAACAAAAACCTGAAATACATACATCTTTCTGAAATTATTGTTCCATATGGCATATAAAGGTTAACTAATGAACAGCCTATACCTACTTGTCCCATGTAGAATGCACATGTACAAACATTATTTGTTAAATACAGTGAAAATCACAGATTTATTTTCCTTTAAAGCGGAGATTGAGTTGTGCTGTAAACTTCCGCTGCATATATGGAATTTGGCCTGAAAATTGCTTTATGTTCCCAGTAACTAGAGGCTTTTTTTCCGTCATACTTGGAGAAAATTGACATACTTCATGTCTTACAGTAATTTAAACACTCCAAATGTCTGTATGGCCTATGAGCAGATGGGCCTAAGGGATTTTAAGGCACTTTCTGTGAGAGTAATTGAACACAATGAATGAAAGCCACCTTATATAAGTTTGCTTTTTAGTGGAGCAGTTTAAAGACAGCATGCAACACGTTCTTCTCCAAAGTAAAAGAATTTTTTCTTTAGATCGGTTAAATGGAAAATTAATGCAGGTTAAGGTTAATTATTTTGTTGTTGTTGGGTGAGTTTCAGCTGCGATCAGATCTCTCTGGGGCCTCGCAAATGTTTGTGCTACCATGGTGAGGAAAGTGGTATGGTACAGGAATAACCAATACTAGGAGAAAGATTGGTCTACTTTTTTCTTTTGGATTAGCTTATGCTTGCCTAAAATCTCTGAAATTTTGTTAACTTTAAGTTACAATGTTGCTTGTTTGCTTTGTCTTAGCATAATTGAGGTAACTCCCAGACCACAAGACAGTTTTATATTTATTTATATATATA